AAATCTTGAAAACTTACCATGCATGTAATGATAAACTTCAAATATGTGAAGGATGAAGAAAATCAAACTCAAATATTTAATCACAACATCAAATCTCCAATAATTAATTTCTAATTCATTTTCCATAACCATCCACATGCATGTAACCCATTTCAAATTAATTTCCATAATCTTATTCTTAAGCTAATTTTCCTTCATCTTCTAGCTATTGATTCCAATTTCATCCTTAATTTCAAGTATAACATAAAGATTCTATAAAAATTAAGCATGAATTCATACCTTAAACTTTAATTTCAGCATTTTAATTGATTCTCCTCTACATCCCCTTTTCTTTTCTTCATTTCCCTCTCTAATCCATAGCTTTTTCCTTGGCTTTCTTTTGTTCCCAGCAGCCTACGCACACACAAACCCACTCTGTCTCTCTCGGCTGTTCTTCCTCCCTTTTTTTTTTCCTTCAAATGTTGTTTTGAGCCTAATAAAACTACACACTTCCTTGAATTCATATATTAATATATTTATATAAATATTAGTTGCTGCCTTCACCTTACACGTACACACACACATCACAATCAGATTTCTCAGTACACCCACCTAAATTTCTCAGTGCACCCACACCCACAATTCTAGTTTTTTCCGTAAGACAATTTATGCTTAGGATTAATTCTAATTAAGCAACACTTAGTCTTAATAAATCTTGGTTGGCACATAATTAATTAATCATAACTAATTACAAATCTCACATAATTTAATTAGTCTAATTGACTTCCATTAAGGCCCAATTAATTATATTTAATTTTACCAATCCAAATCAGATTTTTAGTCACACTCCCAAAAGGCTCCAAATATTAAATTGAATTTATTATCATTATCAATTTTGATTTCCCAAATCATTTAGGCCTTCAATTTTTTATCAGACTCAAATTTCTATCAATAAATTACATATTCAAATTGGACACATCATAAACAAATTTACTTTATAATAACCGCAATTCTCAATCCTCATGACTTAATCAACTCCGATTAGGACATAATTAATCAAATCTCAATTTTACTAAACTGAATCGAATATTTAATTAAACTCCCAAATGAGTCCGTAGTTAAAATTAAATTGATTCAACTTCTCAATTTTACTTCCTTAAGCCATTTGGACCCTTGATTTCTAATTCCAAAGTAAGCACTTAATAAAACCATAAATGAATCAATCTCCATACTTTTCGTAAAACCTAGATTAAATTGGGATAATTGGCAATTAATTTCAAATCTCCCTAATTAATTAAGTGCTAATCATTATATGCGATTGGGTCGTTACAGCCTTCCCCCTTAGGAAGTTTGGTCCTCCAAACTTAAGATACTTATACTGAAAATCAGTCATATAATTTGGTCTCATTTCATTCCTTTCCTACATAACTTCCCTTTTCATTGGACTTCCCTACATAAATTGAACTTAATTCATAATCACTCAATGGTTCATAGCCCAAGTTGGCGATTCGTTACCATCTTTATTAACATCAATCACATAACTTATATACCTTAACTCATCAATCTATAGTTCATATACTTCCAATAGCAGGGGATTTCTTTTAAGGAATGTTCATAATTCTCCTCATTTTTCAAACAGATCGAAATATTTCATTATTGACATGTTAAATCCTTCAAATAAGGTTTCACTTGCTAATCTATAACAGAAATTCGGAATTATATAGAATTGTAATCACATATTAATGGTCTCAGTTCCAAACAAACATGTTGGGTATCAATTATGATGGTAATTTCAAAACAGAGAAGCACATTGGATTTCAAACAGAAACATATTTCACAGGAATTCATTGAGCCTATTGAGTAATAGGAAATAAGGAAGTAAATATCGTTAGTCTCATTCTCTACTCATTGGGTTCTGATTCTAGGGATGCCGACTTCCAGTGGGATAACTGCTTCAGTGCCATAAGCCATGGCAAAAGGAGACTCCCCAGTTGATCTTCTCAGCGTAGTCCGATATACGCAGAGCACAATGGGCAACTCTTCCACCCGCTTCCCTTTTGCTGCTTCCAGCCTTTTTTTTATTCCATCCAAGATAGTCTTATTAGATGTTTCTGCTTGACCATTGCACTGAGGGAAACTTGGAGTAGAGTAGTAGTTCTTAATTTTGTACTTTGCATAGAAGCTTTTGATTAGCTTACTGTCAAACCGTGTACCATTATCTGCTATTATTGCCCTTAGGATCCCAAACCTGGTGATGATGTTCTTCCATATAAAGTTCTTCACATCAATAGCTCGAATCTTTGTAAGGGGTTCAGTCTCTACCCACTTTGTGAAGTAGTCAGTTGCTACCAGCAGAAACTTCCTTTACCCAATTGCTTGGGGCAGTTGTCCAACAAGATTCATGCCCCATTAGGCAAATGGCCAAGGGCTGAATACTGGGTTCAAATCTGTTACTGATTGATATATCAAAGGTGCAAACCTTTGATACTTCTCGCACTTTCTGACGTAGCTTCAGCATCCTTCTGCATGTAGGGCCACCAGTACCCCTGAGTGATGGCCCTATGAGCAAATGATATGCCCCCAGCATGGCTTCAACAGACTCCTTCATGAATCTCATACATAAAGTCCTCAACCTAGGAGGGATGTATACATTTCAAAAGGGGTCTAGTGAAGGATCACCTGTAGAAATGGTCATCTGCTATTAGGCTGAACCTGGCCAACTTCAATGTGGTCTTGTGTGTCTCTTTTCGGTCATCTGGCAGCTTGCCATCCCTGAGGAACATTACTATTGCATCTATCCAACTTGGACCCATCTCCACACACATTGCCTCATATTCTGGTATTAGAGGTTCCACACTTGGTCCTGTCAAGTAATCAATCATGATTGTCCTTGGCTCTCCCGATTTTATTGCACTAGCCAGGTTGGCCAAGGCGTCGGCGTGACTTTTGTCATCTCGACTAACTTGATGTAGCCTGCAATCTTGGAAAAAGGAAAGCAATCTGACAACCTCTTTAACATAGGCTATCATTCGTTCATCTCGGGCTACATACTCGCTTGTTGTCTGATTCACAATAAGTTGGGAGTCACAGAAGACTACCACCTCATCGGCCTCCATTGTTGCTGCCAACTTTAACCCTACAATTTTGCCTCATACTCTGCTTCATTGTTTGAGGCTTTGAATCCCAAACGAATAGATTGCTCTATTATTCGTGCGGTGATACTAATACTACTCCTGCCCCCGCTCCTTGACGGTTCGAACTTCCATAAACAAACAGGCGAAAAAAGTCGCCGATGTAGATATCGCAGGGCTTTGGTTTCTCTTCTTTCTTCTGTTTTGCTAGAGTAGGATTCTTGGGCCCCAATTAGGTTTCTTCCTACTCCCTTGGACATCCCAAGCCGCGGCTCACCGGAGTCTGACGCGGGATGGCACCAAGGGTGAACTCGACCACAAAGTCGGCCAGAACCTGGCCTTTAATTGATGTTATGGGCCTAAACTCTAAGTCATATTCGTCCAACACTACTGCCCATCTAGCTACCCTGCCTGTCAGGTCTCTTTGTTGCAACAGGGACTTCAAAGGATGCTTAGTCAGTACCACAATCTTGTAGGCTTGGAAGTAGTGGTTTAGTTTTTTCGAAGCCATCACCAGGGCTAATGTCAATTTCTCCAGGGGTAAGTACTTTGTTTATGCACTTGTTAGGGTTTTACTCACATAATATACTGCTCTTTGTTCTTCATTATCTTTCCTGATTACCACTACACTCACTGCGTGCTTTGAAACTACCAAGTACAAGAACAGTTCTTCCCCAGGTACTGGATTTGACAGAACTGGAGCTGTTGTCAGGTTTTTTTTCAAATCGGCCAAAGCGACATCGCACTCTTCCGTCCACAAAAAATTTGTGGCCTTCTTTAACAAACTAAAAAATGGTTTACACTTATCAGAACTTCGGCTGATAAATCTCTTCAGGACTGCCCCTTTGCCGATCAACATCTGGACTTGCTTAGCTGACATTAGTCTCTTTAAGTCAAGAATGGCCTTGATTTGATCTGGGCTTGTCTCAATGCCCCTTCTGGTAACCAAGTATCCCAGGAACTTACCTGACCCGACTCCAAATGGGCATTTCGAAGCTTTGAGTCAGAGCCGATATGTTCTCAGGATATCAAAAACTGTCTTCAAGTCGACCAGATGATTCCAAGGTTTTTTGGTCTTCACGACCATGTCATCAATGTACACTTATACTGTTTTGCCAATTAGATGTCTGAACATCTTGGTCACCAATCTCTGGTAGGTTGTTCTTGTATTTTTCAACCCGAAATGCATCATTCTGTAGTAGTACAGCCCTTTTGGGGTGATAAATGCAGTCTTTTTCTCATCAAAGGGATACATTTCTATCTGGTGGTATCCCTTGTAAGCATCGAGGAAGCTCATCCTCTCATGCCCTGAAGTAGCATCCACCAGCTGATCAATTTTAGGCAGAGGGAAGATGTCTTTGGGACAAGCCTTATTCAAGCTGGTGAAGTCCATGCAGACCCTCTACTTCTCATTCTTCTTTTTCACAACTACTGTGTTGGACAATCAGGTTGGGTAGTTCACCTCCCGAATAGCCTTGGCTTCCAACAATTTGTCTATTTCCTTATCTACTGCCACCACATGAATCAACGTCGGCCTCATTGCCCGCTGAATGACAGGTTTAGCCGATCTGTCTACATTGAGCTTATGGCAGGTGACCTCGGGGTCAATGCTAGGAATCTCGTATGGCATCCAGGCAAACACTTCTATGTTTGCTCACAAGAAAGCCTCCAACTCCCTCTCCTCCTCCTCGGCTAAGCCTGAACTGAGAAGGAAGAAACGCTCTTTTTCATCTAACTTTAGCAGAATCTTCTTCAAGGCTTCCTCACTCTTGTCGACTGGCTTTTTGCTAACGTCATCCAGGTTCTTCATGTCCTCGTCTTCAATTTCCACTTTCTTGCCTCTCGCACATTGCAGTTGGATTTCATTACTGCCATGGAGTAATTCTTTGCCTATACTTGATCCTCTTTGACTTCTTCAATCCCCTGTTCAGTTGGAAATCGTAACAATTGGTGTAGTGTCAAGGGAACAGCCCTCATGGCGTATAGCCACGGTCTTCCCAATATAGCATTGTAAGGGAAGGGGGTATTGATTACCTTAAATTTTGCGCTAACATTCCTGGTGCCTGCATGTACCTCAAAATTTATTGCTCCCAGAAGCCATGTTGGCATTCCATTGAACCTGATCATTGGGCTGTCGAGCTGCTTCAAATTATTTCGGTGAAGGTCAAGTTTCTTATAACATCTGACATACATGATGTCACAAGAGCTACCTTACTCGATCAGAATGTGCCTTACCTGGTATTCTCCAATCTTAAGGGTTACTATCAAAGCATCATTGTGTGGATGCTGCACCATGTCTAGGTCCGTCTCAGTAAAGGACACTATTGGTCCCTGGTACTCGTTTGTCCTGGGCCTCTTTTGCTGGACCTGATACACATGTTGTAAGCGCCTCACCTTTTGGGTCTCTCCTCACATATCATTCTCATTAACCTTCGAGTGAATCACATTGATCATCCGAGGTTCTACTTGCTGTGGTTATGGCGGTGGTTGTGCTACTAGTGCAGGGGGAAGCCTTGCATGCTCTTCCCTCGTTCTGGCCTCATCTACTAGGTCTCTCAAGTGACCCTGTCTGACTAGGTCTTCCAAATGCGTCTTTAGGGCTCTACACCCCTGAGTCAGGTGCCCATCCTTATTGTGGTTGGCACAGTGGTTCCTAAGGCTCCTTCCCATGAACTCGTCAGGGACTTTTTCCGGCGCTCTATAATACGGCTGGTTCCTAATCCTTTCTAGAACTTTGTAAACCGAGATCCGGAACACAGTGGTGACTGCCTATGCAGTCCTTAGTCCTGTTTCTTGTCTATTAAATCCAGTATTACCTCGGCCTCGCTTCAGTGAGCCGTTTCTCTTTTATCTTTTCACCGTCACCAATTTTTAGAGTCATCAGGGAGTCTACCCTTAATGGTTGCAACTTGTTTGTGACAAACCCGACTACGAACATCTCGGCCAGGCCTTCCCAACTCTTCACAATTCCTTTCGGCAACTTGCGAAACCAATCTGATGCAATTTCCCCAAAGAATAAGGAGAACACCTTGCAGAGCAATGGTTCGTTCCCGGTATACAGTGCCGTTGAGTTCAAATATAAGCCGACGTAAAACTTCGGATCAGACATACCATCATATATCTGGAACCTCGACATATGGAACCTTTTTGGGGCTCAAACTTATCCAACTCTACTGAGAATGATGTTCTTGGTTTCACCGGGGATGTGACCTCGACATTTTGCCGCTTTCTTTAGAGGTAGTCCCTCAAATCCTCCTTAATCTGGCCAGGAGCTCGGCTGTCAACGAATTTCAGCCTTTTTGGTGCACTACTTCCGGTGTCGTTATGAGTCCTCTTGGACTTCTCTTCATTCACCATGTCAAAACAAAATTCATTTCCTTGAACATGTCGATGCTCTCTGATATACGTCCCTTTGGTACGAGTCGTCCTTTGAGACTCTCCTCTTATTGATTCGGCTCACTCGGCGTCCCGTGAAGGCCGGTGCGAGCATTCCTTCACCTTGTCATGCTGAGGAACTGCTGGGATTGCTTTCTACCTGCCTTTCTGGGCATCATTCTTGGCCGCTGGAATTGACGGGTCCTTCAATGGAAACGGTGGTTGCATGACGTTGTTTTGCATCATCAAGTTGACAACCGATTGTAAGTCTGCCAACTTGTTTGTCATTCCCTTCATCTTGCCATCCCTCCTCAGGCATCTATCTTTCCATACCTCAAGGTCGCTTTTGTTGTAGTACTCGTCTCAGCCTACTTTCTTTGGTGGGTCTCCCTCTTGGCCGACGTCCTTCTCCGCGGGATTCTAATCCTATGGTCCTTTATTATGGTTTTCTCCATCCATGTTTAGATCGGCATGCTTACCAGTCCCACTAGGGATGTCATCCCCGATCTTTTCTTTCTGCCCGTTGTTGGCCATCTATTCTCCTTACGTTTCCACAGACGGCGCTAAATTGTGGGTGTTGATTTCCGACCACACAACCAAACGGGAAACTCAGCTGGAGAGCACCGACAGAATAGATTAAGCCCGAACAACCTATTAGAGAAAAATAAGAATCCAGCAGTGGTTCGTCCACCCAGGGGCACTCCGACGCTCAAGTTAGTATTCAGTATCTCTCACAGATAACAAATAATGCTTAACTCACTAGAAAGAACATAAAAGGCATACCTCAGACCTACCGAGGGTGCCTTACTTTTATAATGATCAGTGTCCAACTTTCCCTAGAAGTCTTACTACATGGGACTCTAGCACATAATGCTTAGCTTGGACTCTTAACTAGACAGGGATAAACTCCCTCAAAGCCTTATCCCTATCCAGTTTAGAGCCCTCTTTCATCTAGGACTCTTGCCCTTCCCTATCCGTTTATCTTGGATTCCAGTATCTGCGCAGATAACCTCGGCCTAGCCGAGATCATCTAGGCAAGCATGACCATGCCATGTGGCACCTCGACTAACACTTCGGTGTCACCTTTTTCGACTTGTCGTTATCTACAAAATACTTCCCCACACATACTTAATGATGCGTCTAACTGCAAGCAGATGAGACTCTTTAGGACAGGCTTGGTAATGGGGCACAAATACCTACACTAAATATAATGTCAGGACGACTAGCTGTGAGGAACAAAAGACTCCCTATCATACTCTTATAAAAGGTAGGATCAACATCAGTACCAGAGGAATCTTTGGAAAGGTAAAGACTAGTGCTCATGGTAGTACGTGCATGTTTGGCCGACTCTAGACCAAACTTAGGCCTTGTTTGGGAACACCATCTTGAAGATCATGCTTCTCGGCTTATTTTCCATTCGTACTTGTATATGTCGGCTTGAGAAGCCTTTTGGTCAAGATGTGTTTTGTATTTCATTTCCTTATTGTACTTAAGTTGTAAGACTTTATAAAAATGTATGTCATTTCATTGGACTTATGCACGGCTCTCATGGACTACTTAGATTCTGTATGTACACATATTGCTTCCGCACTTGTAAGCCCCATATTTTATACTCTGATTGTGTGTGATTCTTGTAAGTTGGCCTTCGGTAATTGCGGATTACTAGCCATCACGGCACCAAACTACTAGGGGCGGTTTGGGGGCGTGACAGAATGGTATCAGAGCACGAGATCCTTATAGTACGTTAATCACACACTTTGAGTCCTAAAGAGCATAGGATGTCCCTTAGAAGAATGTTAGGATTGCATCATGTTGCTTGCTACTTGAAAAGGTGTGCATCATCTCGGCATGAGTATTTTGTTACATCGGCATGATCATGTTCACTTGCATGCACGTCCATTTGTTCATTTTGTTCTAAGTGTCACATCCTCCACACCCCCAGCACCATGAGGAGAGGTAGACCTCTAGTTGGCCGAGATCATTCCGAGGATAGGTTGGAGAGACTGGAAAGGTTAGTCGAAGGCTTGGTTCGTGAACTGAGACAACCGAGGCCACAGGATACTGGTACCACCTCTACCCAGGCCGAGCAGACCAATGGCCGATGTGCAGCTCCGCCTCCACCTCCTCCAGTGCCACAAGTGCCTTTACAACAGGCTTTGTATGGGAACGACACGATAACCCTGATCAGAGAGTTCAAGAAAATGAAACCGCCAAGGTTCCAAGGGGGCATAGAACCAATGAAAGCCGAGGCGTGGGTTTTAGAAATGGAGAAGCTGTTTGAAATTTTCCCCAGTACAGACGCTCAGAAGGTATCTCTGGCAGCGTTCATGTTAGACGACGACGCCCGCAGGTGGTGGATGATGGTTCGAGAAAGTAATCCGGGTTTGACTTGGGCCAGATTCCTGGAGTTATTCTACAACAAACATTTTACCCTTAGCGTCCGAGACTGAAAGACCACGGAGTTCCAGAATCTGACACAGGGGAACAAGACAGTGGCAGAGTATGATCGTGCCTTTACCGAATTGGCGAGATATGCACCCCATATGGTTGACGACGAATACCGAAAAGAGAGAAAGTTCGAAAGTGGGTTACGTGGACCGATACAAGACAGGGTCAATATGCTCAATATGCCAACATACGCTGGAGTACTGGACAAGGCCATCCTGGCTGAAGCTAATTTAAACCGATACCAGAGTTCAAGTGAGGGTCAGAGGAAGAGACAGAATTATGATAATCGCCGAGTTCCGTTCAATGCCAAGAAGAGAATGAGCACAGACAGTTCCAGCAACTCAAATCAGGAAGGTAACGCCAAGCCGATGTGCGCGAGTTGTGGAAAGCAACATTTCGGGGTAGGGTAACGCCAAGCCGGTGTGCGCGAGTTGTGGAAAGCTACATTTCGGGGTTTGTCGTTGGGCAACAGGAGCTTGTTATGAGTGCGGCGAGATAGGTCATCGTGTGAAGGACTGCCCGAAGGCAGGGACTGACAATGGAAAGAGGAATGGAAGCACCTCGGGCTCTGCACAGAACAACAACGTCGGGAGAACACAGGCAAGACAAGGCAGAGTTTTTGCATTGGTACCCGTTTATAAGTTGAATGCCGAGGCAGTAGTGTCAGGTACCCTTTCAATTTGTTCTCAAGATGCATACGTATTGATTGATTCGGGTTCTACGCATTCATTTTTGTCCACTATATTCGCCGAGAAGTTGAATAGAGAATTAGAACCCCTTGATTACGTATTATCTGTGTCTACCCCATCTGGGAGAAATATGATTGTTACATCCATTTATAGGAAGTGTATTGTTATGATTGAGAATATAGAGTTGTTAGTTGATTTGATGCCATTAAGCATGACCCATTTCGATGTCATATTGGGTATGGATTGGTTAGTAACGAACCATGCATCCATTAATTGTGTTACTAAGAGCGTCACATTGAAGACCCCAAGTCAAGCTGAGGTCATTTTCCAAGGTAAAGGAGTAGTACCCCCACCTTACTTAATCTCATCCATGAAGGCCTACAAGTTGATCCAAAAAGGATGTCAGGGTTATTTATGCAGTATACTAAGTGATTTGAATGGAAGTGTTGAGTTAGCCGACATACCCGTTGTGGTTGAGATCATGTATTATGACGTGTTCAAGCAGATGAAGTTGGAAAACAAAGACTTGGCTCTAGCCACGTCCTCTTTGGTTGGCTTAAATTCTTAATCCGAATAGCCAATTGGAAAGATTATATTGTCGGTCAAAAGCAAGTGCAATTTTGGGTGCTTAAGGTCCCGTCAACCTACAACTTAATCCTGGGAAGGGGCTGGTTGCACGCTATGTAGGCAGTAGCGTCAACTTATCACTAGGTCTTGCACTTTCCAGCGCTGTCGGAACAAGTAGAAGAGGTTTGGGGGGACTAAGTAATGGCAAAATAGTGCTTTGTCACAGTAAATGGCAGCCGGGCTGCCAAAGGCTTTGTCCAAATGATTGAAGGACCAGAAGGGAAGGAAGTCCTGGAAGATGTGGGAAGAAAAGCTGAACAAAAATCGGTTGAAGATTTGGTGGAAGTGCGCGTTGATGAAAATGATCCAAATAAGTTATTTCTTTGGGATCATCTTTGTCCAGTAAATGTCAACTTTTTTACTCCACCCGTTCGGGGAACCTGAGGGATGTGTTGGAGGAGTGAGCTCGCCGTAAAGAGACCCAAAGACTGCCGACGTTTCAAAGGCTGAGTCCCCGA